AGTCAACCCCTTGCACTGCTTTGCTACCAGGTCAAAATGCCATATAACTTCAACGTTTCCCAGTCTGAGGGGCTCTCCCAAACTCCTAAACATCTTCATGTCTTGCTCCATGCTTTCGTCAAACCCACAACTCTCTGACCTGTCAACAAAAAAAAATACCCAAACACCGAAACACTACACCACTCTTCGTTCCCGTACTCTCCTTCGCTGGTTACATCCCACTCAACACGGCTTTCTATCCTACGTAAATGTTTCATCCCGTGCCTCTGTGGAAAGTCTCCAAGTCTTATCCAAAACACCCTTCCATAGTCCTTCTTCTTTGTCAACCACATCTGTTTACTCATCCAAAACCAAGTCCCCTAAACAACCACAACACGCTACCATGTAATTTTCGCTTTCTCCTCCTGCTTTTCTTACCCCAATGCAGACACCCAAACATCTATTTAAACCATCACCCCCCACCCATCCCCATCTTCAACTCCTTCCTCCCATCATCATCATCAACCACGACTACACCATCCGTGTAGTTCTCAAACCCACATCCAACTCTTTTTCCACCGCTTTCAACTCAACTCAAACATGTCGGTCGCCCGTAGACAGGCCCGTAAACAGGAAGCCTTCCAGACCCGTGTCGCCGCCGCCCGCCTGGCTCGCGACCGTGACCACCAAGTCTTCGAACCCAACGGTGAGGAGGACCGCTACTTCCGCCCCAACTCCCAGATCCTCAGCTACCTCGGCTCCTACACCAAGGGCCTGCCTCACAACCGCCGCACGGCCCTCGTCACCTCGCCGAACCACTTCGTCCGCTTCGTCCGAGCCATCGACTCTGGTGAACCAGCCGACTTCATCAAGGTCCCGCTCGGCCCGCGCCCGGCCCTCGAGTTCGAGTCTGAGGAAGAGTGCCGCGCCGCCAACCTCTTCAAGTCCGGCATCGCCGGCCGCAACAACACCTTCCCGTCCTCCTGCCTGCGCGCATGGGAGAGCATGGGCGCCGGCCTCGTCTTCGACCTGGAGGGTCCGGACGCCCAGGCCGTCGGCATGCCGCCCGCCCCCACGCTGGACAGCGACGAGCTCGTCGCCGAGATCTCCGAGGTCTACTGGATGGCCCTGCTGCGCGACGTCCGCTTCACTGATTTCACCAACCCTGGCCCGATCGGCAGGGCCGTCAACACCCTCAACAGGACCACCTGGATCCGCGCGGCACGGGACCCCCCTGACTCGCTCACGCCGCAGGAGCGCGCCCGCCTCCGCGGCCCGTTCAACCCGAGCAACATCTTCCGCGGAACCCTCCCCGGAGATGACGTCGGCCCGTACCTCTCCCAGTTCCTGCTCGTGGGAACTGAGGGTATTGGCGGCGCGCAGGACAGGGCTGACGGGTTTATTAGCTACGGCGCCCACCGCATCGACCAGCGCGTGCGTCACGCGACAAAGGAGCTCGACTACATGACCTCTTGGGAGGCCTTTTTGGACGTCCAGAACGGCGCTGACGTTGCCGGTCGCGATACCTTTGAGTCGGGCTCTGACGCCTTCCGCTTCATCACGACCCCCCGTGATCTCGCCACGTACGTCCACTTTGACGCGCTCTACCAGGCCTATCTCAATGCCTGCCTGATCATGCTCGACAGCGGCGTGAAGTTTGATAAGGGTATTCCGTTTGGTGAGCCAGACTTCAAGGATCATCAGCAAGGCTTCGCTCACTTCGGAGGACCGCATATTCTCTCCCTCGTCACAGAAGTTGCCACAAGGGCTTTGAAGGCCGTTCGCTTCCAAAAGTTCAACACGCATCGCCGTCTGCGTCCCGAGGCCGTTGGTGGCCTGATCGAGCGATTCAACAGCAACCCTGACGACCCTCAGTTCCAGGATGTGAAGCCGTTGTTCGAAGCGCTGGATGAGGATATGATGCGCCGCGTTGCTCGTCACAACAGGGAACAGAACCAAGGCTCTGACTTTGGCATGCCGCGTGCCGACGACTTCAACCCCGCCGGTGACACTCTCGAGACGATGCTGTTGCCCATGGCTTTCCCCGAGGGAAGTCCGATGCATCCGTCGTACGGTGCCGGCCATGCCACTGTGGCCGGGGCTTGTGTTACCGTGTTGAAGGCGTTCTTCCAGCACGACACCGAGCTCGATTTCTGCTTCGTTCCCAGTAATGACGGAAGCCGTCTTGTCGACGCCAGCCACAACATGAATAAGAAATTGACTGTAGAGGGAGAGTTGAACAAGGTCTGCTCCAACATCAGCATTGGCCGCAACTGGGCTGGCGTTCATTACTTTACCGACTACATTGAGTCGATTCTGCTCGGCGAACAGATCGCGCTAGGCATCTTGGAGGAGCAGATGTTGACTTTCCCCGAAACCTTCACAATGACCGTCCCTCTCTTCAGCGGCGAATTGAAGGTCCTCCGCTCGACCTGATCCTTGGAACGGCGTACTGAAGTTGAGGAACAACTTGCAGTAGTGAACACCTCCATAGATCCCCGTCCCATTCCCCCCTATTCCTTTCTGATATCTGCTTGTAATGGTTGTTCTATTGACAATGAAGCGCTTAGGCTCATATCTGTGTAACATATCACAACTACTGACTTTCAAGTAATAGAATAAACCTCGTTTTGTATGCTATCCTGCAATGTCGCCCACCACCGCAAGAAACTTGAAGTAGAGTGTGTCTACGCTCCGAAAAAGGGGTTGACGTGATGGAAAGCCCCCATTTTAACGACTTGATTACGTAACTCTGTGAAACAATTAAAGATCTACTGCAAGTGCAGCAGTCTTCGCATAGCTACAGGTACTGTGGAACAAGATGACAAACGCATATTCCAGGAACGAGCACTGCATGATTGTGCCTGTACTGTAGAATTTGTACCCTAAGGGTACTGTATGACCCCAATAAAAAAGTTGCGACAAAAATTCGGCTCCCACATGACCACAGCAGCGCAGACAGAGAAAGTACAGTACAGGGGCTCGAGAGTCACTGTTCCTACCGTGCATGGCCACAGCTCCGTAAGCAAAACTTGGAAACGTGCGCATTTTTGACAGAACAGCATAAAATACGTGGCTTTGTATGGAACCGGTCACAGAATGAGATTCCGTGCGCCAACAAACAACGAAACGCCCCAGTGAGGCACGTGGACCAACACCAAGCAAGCCATATGTGAAAATCCAATGCAAAAGTAATGAAATATATCCCTCTTGTGTGCACTATAATTTCGTGAGCTCGGTGGTGTTGAGCATATACAGTATCAAATACTCACCGGTGGCTCACGCAGACTGTGGTTGCGTGTGCTATCAGAGTCGCGATCAGGAGAATAGGTCCTGCGCGGTCATCCGCTCCGAGACGTTCTGGCCCTGGCCCCGTCTCATTTTTGCCCCTGGTGTTGCGTCCATGACTCAGCTCGCCTGGTATGCCGTGTTGTAGCGCATTTTTATTCGTTTAAATATCATTGGTGCGCCACTGCCAACAGTGGACGAAGCATGATGGAATCGCTACGGGAAATACCTGTCACTGTAAGTCCAGTTATGCTTGTGACCACGTCTTTCCAAAACTTGCACGGACGTTTATAGTTTCGCCTAAAATTTCCGCAAACGTTTTGGCAATGGTTTGCCGATTCTTTTCGGTTTTGTGGAAAAGTGGCTCAGTTGGAAGATATCATTACAGCTAATCGAGCTGTTTACAAATTACTTACGTATGGAAAAGGTCCTCGAGGTGATGATCTGGTGCTCGCACCAGCTGTCCAGAATTGAAGGTCTTTGTGCTCGTGCGAGCACAAAGACCTTCAATTCTGGACTTCGAAAGCGCGTGAGTCTCTCTTGGATTATCTGAGTGAAGTGGATGGGCCGGTAACACCCACAGATGCGGCGGCGTATTGGGAAGACAAGTAGTGGTGGGGCACGGACGTTGAGGCTCTTTTCTTTCCCCCGGAAGACAAAGACAATTCACTGGAAGCGCATCCAAGTAAACAAACGAACAGTTAGGTGGTATAGAATCGTTTGGAGCTGGTAGAGTGGAAACAGCAGTCTCGTTAGGGCTTTGCTGATACTCTCGCACGCATAAACATAATACACAATCCCAACACACAGTCCCCACAACCAACCACTCCCAGACCCCACCTCCTACGCCCGCCCCTGACCTGACCCAATGCTCTCTTTCAATTTGTGGTACAACTCTCCTCAAACCCTAGCGGGCGAGAGGCTCGGAGGATGAGCCGAGGGAGCTCGCGACGCGAGACGCGCGGCGCGCGGTTACCAAACGGTCGGACTTGCGAAAAGGGAGTGGCACACTGGCCGGTTACGCGCAGTCGTCCCGAGGTGCTAGATCGGAGACGACCGGTAACGGGTTAGAAGCCAACGCGCGAGAGAATACCGAAACGGCAGTACGTAGGCGCGAAAGGGAGGGGGGCAAGTCTGCCCCCCGTGTTTACTGCGAGGACGGTGTCCAGGTCTTAACCCCTCAGAGGGACGCCCGGGACACCTGTCCAATACAGTACCTGTCACTTACTGTGGACCAGGTACTGTACGCGATTGAAAATCTAGCGCCGTCATTACACTACCGCACGGATCCTCACACTACGCGCTTGCATTACACTGCGCGCGCATTATCCCCACACGGTTCCTTACACTACACGTGTACCCAAGCGTACACCTGTCACTTGCTGCGCCCGTTCGGTAATCATACGTATTACACGTGGGCCACGGTGCCCCGTGCTCGCTGCGCGCGGCCGCTCCTACTGTACACCGACCGCGGATCGGTCGTTGTACCACAGACCCCCTTCCTTATCTGTCGCCACATCCTCGTGGCGACCACATTTTCTTCCCAGCGGTCCCCTCGATCTCTTCCACAACCTGTGCGTGCGATGACCGGACGGAAGCCTCTTCGCGCGGACGAGCACGCCTCGTGGCTCTTCACCGACCTGACGGTATATAAGTCGGGTATATCGTCCGATTCGGATAGCGCGGCTTCTGTCTCCTCCCACGCGAACCCCCCAGAACCACCAACTCCAACACAGCACTCCCCCACACTTCACCAACACTCCTCCATTCCTTCCCCAGACGACGACATTCCTTTATCCCAACTCTTCCCACGACCGACCATGGACCACAGCAACACCCCCGTGGACGCGCTTCCGATCGGTGCGCCGTCGAGCCCCGGGAGGGCTCCGGCGTTACCCGGTTCGACTCCCGCGTTTCAGCCGCAGCGCGCTCGCCGCGGCGGAACAGAGTCGACCACCAATTTGGCCGAGCCCGCGACGCGCTCGCGAGCTGATGCGTCCGATCCGGTCGCTGCGCCACCGATAGAAGAACGACCGACCTGGCCCTCGCCGCTGCCCTCCGAGGGTGTGGCTCCAAGGACGGTTGAGGCGGGTCCGGCGTACCCCGCGGTACTACCCCCGCCTCCCATGTCGCCGCTGCCTGCCGCGGGCACGGCGTCGCCAAGAGCCGATTTCGGTACTGTGCGAGAGACGCTGGCACCGCCGGCTGTCCTGCTCTCGCCGCGAGCCGAGCGGGGGTCGGCGCTACCGCTCGGGCGGGCCTTCACGACCCCCAGCGCGCCGAATTGGCTGAGAAGTGGCGTCAAGTCCGTCCGGTCGCTGCTGCCCGGGTCCTCGATGGACCACCGGCGGCGGCGAGCCCGGCGACGCGCTTCCGGTCGCAAGCCCCCGATGACGGTCGACGAATACGTGCGGCGCCGCCTCTTGGACTCGGCGCGATTCCAGGCAGTCCCTGCGAATCATGCCATCGTGACTCCGTCCGGGCGGGGTAGCGTGGCGCAGCAGAATCGGGCGGGCGCTTGGCAAGCCCGATGGCGACACGTGCCGTGCCGTACACCCGCCGCGGGTGGCAGCGACTTGCTCTACGTCCGGTGCGGTGGCGAGGAGCGGTACCACGTCACGCTCCTCAACCTATTCGGTCGGTACAGGCGCTACGATGGCGTCGTGCCGGACATCCGCTTGGTGGCCTTCCCGCGCCCTTTCGACAACTGGTACAGCATCGCGGACCGCGGCCGGTGGGGCGAGGACGCTGCGCGGGAGAGTCGGCTGCGCTGGCGCCGTGCAGATGACTTCTTCCACATGTGGCACAACACCGAGTTTTTCTCGGTGCCCAGCGCAGCGCGGCGAGGCCTGTATCCTTCGCTCCCTCCGGACTGGCCGGACCTCGAGGCACCGGAGCACCTTTGCGTGCCGACGCCGAGTGCGATGGCCTACGTCGCGGCGCATTGGTTGCCACGCGGTCGAGCGGAGTCAGCCGAAACGGAACGTACGCGCACGCTTGTGCGCGCGATCGTCTTGTCCGAATGGGCGGTACTCGCGTTGTTGTGCTTCCTTCGGGCTGCCCGCGAGGGGTTGCCGTTCTTCACGAGGTGCCCCGACCCCCGGTTGGCTGCGAGGCGAGACGAGCCGCTCGGTGAGCGCGGCGTGCTCTTCCGCCTCTCGGTGGGGCTGATTGCCCTCATCCGTTCGGTCGGCGTCAAGGAAATCCTCGACGGTACCGCGTACGACGCGGCGCGCGCGGAACAGCTACTGACCTTCACGGCAAGTCTGGACTGGACCGGCCGGCCGAGCTTCGTATGGTTCAGCTGGGCCCGCGGCTGCGCGTTAGACATGCCGCCTTGGGTCAGCGACGAAGCGGGCGCGGTCGGCGACGGCGCAGCATACGGAACCGTTGAAGCGGAAGGCCTTTACGAGGCACCGGCCGATGACGGTGGTGGGTCCTCGCTCGCGATCGCTGCCGATACGGTGGCGCCTGTCGCTACGCCCGCGCTACCCGCTCCCGGAGGGTCCACTCGTGTGGGCTCCATCCAGAGCGACTCGCCAAAGGGGGTCGCTCAGGAGCGGCGCGACTTAAGGCGTCCCGTCGGTGAGGCGGGATTTTCGGACCCACCCCCGGTCACTCAGCATATAAGCGCGGTGACCGGGGCCGAAACCGTATCGCGACCAGCAACGATGCCGAAACCTCCCACAAGTCAACCGCTCGGTCGAGTTCCCCCGGAGCGCCTCCGGGAGGAGGCCGCGCTCGCGGCACTGCAGTACGCTTGCTCCTTTGAGGGGGCGGACGCCCCCTCCTCGGTCGAGGCGGCGCTACTGCAGGCGCGCGATTGGATGCTCCGGGTTCGGCAGCTCGAGAAGACCGTCGCGGTGTTACAGGAATCCTCTGCCGCGGCGACGCGCGAGCGTGCCGAGCATCACGCAAAGTTGCGCTCCGTACAGGACGTCCTTGCGGTGGTGAGCCAACGCCTGGCGGCGCCCCCGATGTCTTCGTCGACAGTCGGGGCCTCGCGCCCCGCGCCCGACGACGTCGAACCGGCGCCCTCGGCGAAGCGCTCGCGCCACTTCTAGACACCGGCTTGCCGAGCGTCTCCTCCCTTACGTAGTACAGTAGGGGCATTGCCCGGATTAAACGAAACCGATTATCGGTGCTCTTCTTCCTCGCCAACTTGCGCAATTAAATCGTACTTCGGGCTACGCTTCCCCCCCTCCTAAGGTAAATAAAAATCGTAGCCCGGTTCCGCGAACGGTATTGCACGCGCGCGGGCGAGACGGAGCCGATGGCACCGACACTGGAAAACCGCAAATCGGACGGCTTTGGGCCGGAAACCATCGATGGACGTCGCCCCCTTGTCG